CTTGGATCAAGGCAAATGATTATGGGTTTCCCCTCACTGTCGTTACAACCATTTCGATATTTAGAGCCTTCTTACTGTGCTCTGTCGCGTTAGGTAGGGGTGAAAGCTACGCTTACGTGAGAAAAATTACTTTTCTCCGTATGGGCTTTAGCTAGTAACCTCTGGGGTACATGCCTTATGTTTACGAGTGAAACATTGAGTTTCCTCGCATGGACATAGGGAAATGTATCCTCTCGAAATTGAACTTGATCCGTTTTAAGCCTATAATGGGTGAGGATCGAGGGTCTGGCAAGCTCAAGGGGGCACCAGCAAAGGACAATTCGAGGACCCTTTTAGTGATACCAGAACTCTGCTCGTCCTATGCTAAATCTCTGTCCATAGACATAGAGGGGAAACTCATTCTAATCTTTTCCTCGAATTTATTTATTTTTGTAAAAAGTATGCGAACTAGAGATCATGTGGTCAGGTTCATTTTTTGAGCAAGCATGTGAATTAGATACCATGCGGTTAGGATTTTTTGTGAATAACGAAACCTGAGAGTAGATACCATGTTGGGTAGGATCTACTAAAGCATGATTGGGTAGATATCATGTTGGGTAGATATCATATGAATAAGGTTTAAGATGTATATATTTTCTATCTCCATGTTGTTTATGTATTCTTCGACTATTCATTGTATATACTAACACAGTTTTATTTTTGTTTGTGTTTTGTGTTTTATTTATTACTGCTGCATTGCATCATTATTCATGAAGAAAGGTGTTGATTCACAAGGTGGTCATAAAAGTAGAAGGCGGTCATAAAATGGACAAGAGCTTTCATAACAAGGAAGTGGATAACGCAGAAGTGAGGTCGTGGTCCGAGGAAACTCAGAGGAAGAAAGGTGACAGTTTGACTGAAGATTACATATCAGTACTACCAGAGGTTGCTCCGGTCAGTCTAAAGCAAAACGATTTGCAAGAGTTACGCGAAATTTGGGAAAGTTGGAATTCTGATGTGAAATACTCTTTCTGGCAAAAGTATGGTGACATCGCCCTTCTGTTGTACGTGAAAGTAAACGAACCCCTAATCAAAGCTCTCATCCAGTTTTAGAATCCCACATATAGCTGCTTCTCTTTCAACAAGGAAGACATGACTCCCACGTTAGAAGAATACACCTCATTGTTTCATTTCGAGACGATACACTTGGACCGAATCTACTCAAAAGCCTCAAGGACACAATCCTTTAAGAACAAGCTCGCAAGGATTACTGGGATGGGAGAGAAGTGGGCTGCTGATCGAATCCAAAAGAAGGGAGAGTCTGATTGCTTCCCTTGGTCATGCCTCAAGGAGCTTATCGTCAAGCATAGCGATATCAAGAAGAGCATAGAGATGTTCGCCTTGGGAATTTATGGTTTGATGATTTTCCCGAAAGTTCTTTATCACGTGGAAGCCGCAGTGATCGATTTATTCGAGCGTTTGGAAAGGAAGGTAAACCCTGTTCCTGTAGTTTTGGCCGAAACATTCAGAGCACTTAGCAGTTGCAGAAGAGCTGAGAGTAGCCGCTTCACCGGGTGTGTCCAGTTGCTTACTGTTTGGATACGCAGTCACTTCTAGAAAATTGACCGAGAGTATAGTCGACGGTTTTCTACGGCCTATTCACCCTTAAAAGATTTCCTCACTAAAGAGTGGCCAGAGCATCTCACCAGGAAGGATTGGGTTTCACTCTTCAGAAATTTACAGGAGCATGATATAGTGTGGCGTGTCCCCTGGTTAGCTTTTATGGATGTGTTGTACAAATGCGGGGATTCTGATTGGGTAACCCTATTAGGGTTATGGGGTGGAGTAGGTTATGTGCCACTGATGGTACTGAGGTAATTTGGGGCACGCCAATTCATCCCAGCTACATCCGGTCTGAAGGCATCTGAATTTGTGTACTGTGGAGATCACTACAAGAAGACTGCTCGTGCAATGTCAAAGGCGTGGAAGTCAACCTTTAGAACTGATTTCATAGCAGCTGAGGTCATGCTGACACCAGATTACATGGCATGGAGTGCGGTGCGAAAGAATGATATCCTTCCGTTGGCGGATCGTGACCAAACAATTCCTTTGGAAGCACAGTTTAAATACGTACCGTCTAAGTTGGAGATACTGAAGAGTGAATTCGAAGCGAAAATCGCCAGGAAGGAAGCAGAGTGTGAGGCCCTTAGACAAAAGAATTTCATGTTGGACATCGATAGGGGGTTCTATAATACACAGTTTGAGCTTATGCGCAAGAGAAAGGATGAAGTGGAGGCCAATCTCACTAGTTTACAGAGCGATTACCAAAAGATGAGTCGAGCACAGGCAATTGCTGGCCTCGGGAGAACTTCAGAGCAGTGGCGGTTAGAGCTTCGGGCTGAGAGGGATCGTCGAGTTAGAGACGTCAGAGCCGAGAGAGAGCACCGAGTCAGAGAAGTAGAGACAGAGAAGAAGAAAAGAAATCAAGAACTTGAGTCCGAGAGAAGGTCCTGGGTTAGGGCACTGAAGAGCGAAAGGACAAAGGCTAAAGAGTTAAGACAAAGGTACACCTTGAGCAAGAAGCGAGAAGAAGAATTGCATGCTAATATTGAAGAACTCAGAATGAAGGCAAATAACATGCAACTTGAACTTGAGGTTAGAAAGCAAAGAATCAACGAGCTCGAAACTGAGAAGAGGCAAAGCAAAGAAGAGCTAAAATTAGAAAGGCAACATCGGGAGAGTGTGCTCTAAGGCAAACAAGATAAAGTATTCCTCTGGATACAGAGGTGTGGAGCAAAGAACGAACGGATAGAGGTACTCAATCAAGAGATGCATGAAATGGAATCAAGGCATGAGGAAGAGTTAGCTCGAGCCAAGGCAAAGAATGAATAGTACAGTGCCTACGTTATGCAGCTTGAAAGTTCCTTATCTGCAGAAAACAGTCAGCGTTGCCCAGTGGATCAAAGGGTTAGCCTCGAGGAGAACGCTGCTTTGCAAAAGAAGATTCATGATTTAGAGGCTGCCTTACGAAGCTGCCAGACACAAATCGCTGGTCTCGAGCGCACCGTCCAAGGCACCAGACTGCAATGGCAAAACTCAAACGATCACTTTAGAGACTGGAAGACAAACGTGAATCACGTGATCCGAGAGACCATGAATCAGTTAAGCAGCGTTGCGAGGCAGTTGGGAGAGATGGACCTCCAAGCAAAAGTCATCCAGAGCTATACCAATCCAGCATCAGGCGTAGGAAAGAGGGTCGATTGGCTTGTCAATCAGATAGTAGAGCTGAACATGAGAGCTAGGCCATTTCTGTAATGGACTTTTCTTGTAAAGATGATACTTTTGTCCTAAATAAAAGTTGTTCTAAGACTGATCGCGTCTTATGAATCAATGCCTTTCTACATGCATTTGCATTTTATTTGCAATTTAAGTTTTGTGTTGCATTCTTTATCACACTTTACATAATTTGCATTCATCCTCAAAGAATTAAGATTAACAATAAGGGATACATTACAGAATACTGGGAAATTTCAAGCATCACTATAACACAAGGAAGGCCATGGATGATAAGATTACTCAAATTGAAAGAACTCAACTGCAATTGCAAGATGATCTAAGGAAATGCAGAAGATATGCTTAAGGCTCAAGAGGATATGTTGTCTAAGTTGGCAAATATGCTGGGAGGGAGAAATCCAGAGCACGGAAAGGCCCATGAGCAAACAAGTGAAGAACCACTTTACCCTCCAGGGTTTACCCCGGTACAGTCTCCGAATATCCAAGGAACATCTATCCATACCAAAGTACACATAAATCCTGACGGCATTGCAGTTAATCCACAACCGGGATCTTGTTCGCATCCCGAAGAAAGCCCATATCACCAGGTCCCGGACCTTGATGAAGAAGCAAAAAAGAGCGAAGACAAGTTGTTGCAGGAGCAATATAAGCAGCTAGCAAATGAAGTACAAGCTATGAAAGAAGATACCAGCTTGTATGGTCTCGACGCTAAGGAACTGAGTTTAGTTCCTGATCTGGTCCTACCTCCCAAGTTAAAAACTCCTGACTTCGAGAAATATGACGGTACCCAATGCCCTTCTGCCCATATCACAATGTTCTGCAGGAAAATGACTGGTTACGTAGGGGACGACCAGCTGTTGATCCACTGTTTCCAGGAAAGCTTAGTAGGCTCAGCATTGCGATGGTATAATCAACTAAGGAGAGTTGATGTCAGGACGTGGAAAGACCTGGCCAAATCTTTTCTTGACCAGTATAAGCATGTGAAGGACGTCAGGCCTAACAGAATGGTGCTGCAAGCAATGGAGAAAAACTATAGTGAAAGTTTTAGACAATATACTCAGAGGTGGAGAGAGGTAGCAGTACAAGTCCACCCACCGTTGGTAGAGGAGGAAACGAACCTACTTTTTGTTAATACCTTGAAGGCTCCATTTTTCTCACATTTTGTTGGTAATCCTTCTCGAAGTTTTGCTGATATAGTTACGGCGGGAGAAATGGTTGAAATGGCGATTAAAAGCGGGAAGCTTGAGGGAGGAGATTCCGGCAAGAAACAACCGATGAGGAAGAAGGAAAATAAAGTCAGCAACGTAAGGCAATATGATTCCCATAATATCACAGTGTCCAGACCACAGGGAACGGTAGCATCACCTCAAATTGACAATAGACAAGGGGTAAGAGATCCAATGAGAGAGAGGCCTCAATTTGATCCGATTCCTATGACTTATAAGGAGTTATTCCACGAATTATATGATCGACATGTAGTGTCACCTTATCATGTGGACCCTATACAACCCCCGTATCCCAAGTGGTATGATGCTAGTGCTAAGTGCGAATACCATGCAGGGGTTTCCGGACATTCTATTGAAAATTGTCCCGCTTTCAAAAAGGTCGTCCAAGCTCTGAGGAGAAGAAACGTCATCAATTTTGGTGACAGTGAACAGCCAAACATAGCCCAGAATCCATTGCCAAACCATGCAGGAGCCGGGATTAATGCAGTCGCTGAAGAGAAAGGAAGAATGACTGTAAAAAATATTAGTGAGGTGATGTCACCCATGTCTTGGGTGTGGTGCCAAATGGTCAAGGTAGGACTATTAAAGACTAATCTGCCATGTGAACAGTTCAACAATGAAGAGATGTGCCACTACCATAACTGTACGAGACACAGTATACAACAGTGTTCTGATTTCTTAGGGCTGGTACAAGAGATGATGGATAGTAAGGAAATCGAGTTCTTCAAAGAAGTGGCTGAGAAAGAAGAAGCGGAAGTTTATGCCTCTGAGGGATCATCCAAAGGGGTCTATAGTGCTAGTTGTCCCCTCGTTATTACTCCCAAGAATCGAGTGGCTGGGAAGGTAGCTCCAAAGGTGATTATTACACCTCCCTCTCCGTTCCCGTACAAAGACAATAAACGGGTACCCTGGAGATATACTTGTCAAATAGGAGAGGTGACAAAGCAACAGGAAGAGGTTGATGAAGTGGGACACATGACCAGGAGTGGTAGATGTTATCACAAAGAACCTGAGAAAAAGATTGCTGTCGAGAAAGGAAAAAGTATCGATGTGCAGATAAGAGAATATGAACCCATCGTCAATGAGCCAGTAACGGAGAATGAAGCGATGGAATTTTTAAAATTTTTGAAACATAGTGAATACAGTATTGTTGAGCAACTGCACAAGCTACCTGCTCGTATTTCTTTCCTATCAATTCTTCTGAGTTCAGAGGCTCATCGCAACGCCCTGTTAAAAGTTTTAAACCAAACCTTTGTCCCGAAGGAGATACCCACAGAAAAGCTGGACCGACTAGTTGCCAACATCCAGGCCGATAATTTTTTTATCTTTTTCTGAGGACGAGATCCCTTCTGGGATGATTGGTAATCATAAGGCCCTACACATCACAGTTAGGTGCAAAGGGCATGTTCTATCCAGAGTACTGATAGATAACGGTTCGGCGTTAAATGTGATGCCCTTGGTGACCCTGAAAAAATTGCCAGTGGACAGCACCCTGATGAGAAGCTGTCAAAGTATGGTTCGAGCTTTTGATGGAACGAAGAGAGAAGTTCTAGGCAAGATCGATATCCCTTTGACTATTAGCCCGGCGATATACGAAGTGGAGTTTCTTATGATGGACATCATGCCTACATACAACTGTTTATTGGGAAGGCCCTGGATTCATCAGGCCGGTGCGGTTCCGTCAACGTTGCACCAAAGGATAAAATTTGTAATTGATGGGAGGCTTATATGCATTCATGCTGAAGAAGACATTATTGCTTCGGTTTCTACTACTGCTCCATACGTTGAAGTGGAAGAGCAAGTTGTTGAATGTTCTTTCAGATCGTTGGAATATGTCAATGCCATGTTTGTGGCAGAAGGAAAGAAGATCCCGAAGCCTAGATTGTAAAACTGCACCAAAATGGGGCTTAAGCTGACTCTTGGAAGAGGAGCAAAAACTGGCAAAGGGTTTGGACGTCGGTTGCAAGGACTGGTGGGCCCAATCTACCCTGTAACTAAAAGAGACAAGTTCGGTTTAGGGTATCAACCGACTTTAAAAGAAAAACTGAGAAGCATCAAGAAGATTCAGGAATTGAGAAAGGCAAGATTGACTGGTGAGGACCCAAGCTGGGAGCCCATGACATTCCCGCCATTGAGCAGCATTTTCGTATCAGGAGGATATATGTTTCAAGGGACTTTGGAAAGTAGTAAAGTGATAGTTGAGAATGCCTTGGAGGACTTGGGCATTAATGTCATAACCGATGAGGAGTTCAAAGAAATGAGAGCTACGGGCATTTACCCTGCGCCACTGGGCTTTGTGTTGAACAACTGGACTGCGGAGGAATTGCCTGTAGTTTACAAATCTTTTGCAGAGTAATACACTAGAACTCTTCCCTATTGTTCATACCCTGGGACAGTAGGTGATTTGATGTAAAGAGTTAAGTTGTGTGTTTTTACTTGCTTTTAATAAAAGATGTGTTTTGTTAATTCCCAAATGGCAAACATTTCCTCATGCATTTTTGTTTGAATATATGCATATATTTATTTCTTTCTATTTGTTTATATGGGAAATGATTCTCCCATATGTATATATGTATATATATCTTCTTTTTCGTTATCCTTTCAGGAACTCAGATATCAATAATACGAATGCTAATGACTCTGACCCGGAGATTGATTTCGAGATGCCCATATGTCAAGAGGAAATCGAAGGTTGTGATGATGATGAGGGATGTGAACCACCCTCAGAATTACTAAAGATGGTGGAACAGGAAGATGAGCAGATTCTGCCTCACGAAGAGCTTACAGAGATCTTGAACCTGGGCACATATGAGGATATTAAAGGAAGTAAAGATTGGTACCACCCTGTCTGCTGAAGGAAGGCAAAGCTTGATAGAATTACTTCAAGAATTCAAGGATGTATTTGCTTGGTCGTACGAGGACATGCCAGGGCTGGATACAGAATTGGTTGTCCATAAATTACCGATAAAGCCTGATTGTAAGCCCGTACAACAGAAACTGAGAAGAATGAGACCCGAGATGCTGCTCAAGATTAAAGAAGAAGTGAAGAAACAATTTGATGCTGGGTTTCTCACAGTGGCCAAATATCCTGAGTGGGTAGCAAATATTGTCCCAGTACCAAAGAAGGATGGGAAGGTACGAATGTGTGTCGACTATAGAGATCTGAATAGAGCTAGTCCAAAGGATAATTTTCCTTTGCCACATATAGATACGTTAGTGGACAATACTGTTGGAAATTCCTTATTCTCATTTATGGATGGTTTCTCCGGCTATAATCAAATTAAAATGTACCCTGAAGATATGGAGAAAACAACGTTTGTCACTATGTGGGGAACGTTCTGTTATAAAGTCATGCCGTTCGGATTAAAGAATGCAGGGGCAACCTATCAGAGGGCCATGGTGACGTTGTTTCATGACATGATGCATAAAGAAATTGAAGTCTATGTCGATGATATGATTGTCAAAGCCAAGACGGAGGAGGAACACATCAATAATTTGAGGAAGCTCTTTCAAAGATTAAAGAAGTGCCAACTAAAAAACTTAACCCAAATAAATGTACTTTTGGGGTGATATCGGGAAAACTGTTGGGATTCGTAGTGAGCCGAAAGGGAATTGAAATAGATCCCGATAAAGTAAAAGCCATTCAAGATTTGTCAGCCCCAAGAACACAGAAAGAGGTTCGAGGATTTTTGGGGAGATTAAATTACATCGCTCGGTTTATCTCGCAGCTGACCGAAAAATGTGATCCCATATTCCGCCTTCTTCGTAAGAATGATTCAGGAGAATGGAGTGAGGATTGTCAAGAGGCTTTTGAGGCAGTAAAGAGATATCTTTCGAATACTCCGACCCTAGCGCCACCTATCCCAGGAAAGCCTTTAATTCTTTACTTGTCCGTTTATGACAATTCAATGGGATGTGTGTTGGGGCAACATGATCAAACTGAGAAGAGGGAGAGGGCTATCTATTATCTCAGTAAGAAGTTCACTGAGTATGAGGCCAGATACTCACCAATTGAAAAATTGTGTTGCGCTTTAGTGTGGGCTACCAGAAGACTTAGACAGTATATGTTGTATCATACTACCTGGCTCATATCTAAGCTGGACCCTTTAAAGTATCTAATGGGGGGTACCTGCATTGTCGGGAAGGTTAGCCCGTTGGCCCATCCTGTTGTCCGAATTTGATATCCAGTATGTAAGCCAGAAGGCAGTTAAAGGGAGCGCCATAGCAGAATTCATTGCGAGTAGGGCTTCAGAAGAATATGAACAGTTGAACTTCGATTTCCCGGATGAGGATTTAATGGCTATCTCGGAAGAAGAAACAATTGCTCTCACCGGTAAATACTGGAAGATGAACTTTGATGGTGCTTCAAATGCCTTGGGGCATGGGATTGGGGCAATCTTGGTCTCACCAAGTGAAGAGCATTATCCTTTTACCAGTCGGCTCAATTTTGATTGTACAAACAATATGGCTGAATATGAGGCTTGTGTTATGGGTCTTAGAGCAGCTATTGAACTCAAAGCAAAAATGCTGAGGGTATATGGGGATTCAGCTTTGGTAATTTACCAACTCAGAGGAGAATGGGAAACTAAAGATCCCAAACTTGTGGAATATCGTAAATTAGTTCTGGGACTTATTGAAGAATTTGAAGAAGTGACTTTCAATTACCTCCCCAGAGAAGAAAATCAAATGGCGGACGCCTTGGCTACTTTGGCAGCGGCCTTTAAGATGAACGAGCATTCAAATATGATGCCTATTGAGATGAAGGCTTATGAGTATCCAGCCCACTGCTTTAACATTGAAGAAGAAGATGATGAAGGACCTTGGTACTATGATATCTTCCAGTATATAAGATATCAAAGTTACCCCGAACAGGCAACTGAGAATGACAAAAGGACCATTAGAAGAATGGCAGCAGGGTATGTGCTTAATGGTGAGATCTTATATAAGAAAAGCATGGATCAGGTCTTATTAAGGTGTGTGGACACTAAAGAAGCGAAAATGATTCTTGAAGAAGTACATGAAGGAATATGTGGCACCCATGCTAATGGGCATGTAATGGCCAGACAGATTATGAGATTTGGGTATTATTGGTCAACTATGGAAACTGATTGCATCAATTATGCCCGAAAGTGTCACAAGTGTCAGATTTATGGGGATAGAATGCACACCCCTCCTCATCCGTTGCATGTGATGACAGCTCCGTGGCCGTTTTCTATGTGGGGCATGGATGTTATTGGGCAAATTTTTCCAAAAGCGTCAAATGGTCATCGCTTCATTCTGGTAGCAATAGATTACTTCACCAAGTGGGTAGAAGCAGCTTCCTATTCAAGTGTTACCCAGTCAACGATATGTAGGTTCTTGAAGAAGGAAATCATCTGCAGATATGGCTTACCGGAGAGAATTATCTCTGACAATGCATTGAACTTAAACAACAAGATGATGAAATCTGTATGTGAGCAATTCAAAATAAAGCATCACAATTCCACGGTTTATCGCCCAAAGATGAATGGGGCAGTGGAGGCGGCTAATAAGAACATTAAGAGGCTTATAGAGAAGATGACTGAAACTTATAAAGATTGGCATGAGAAGTTGCCATTTGCTCTGTTTGCTTATCGGACTTCTGTACGGACGTCAACTGGGGCAACTCCGTTTTCTCTAGTTTATGGGATGGAAGCTGTCCTCCCTATTGAAGTGGAAATTCCCTCGCTCCGGGTTTTATCGGAGGTGAAGCTAAATGAGGCAGAATGGGTACAGGCCAGATATGACCAATTGAATCTGATTGAAGAAAAGAGACTGAAAGCTATTTGTCACGGTCAGATGTACCAGAAGCGGATGATACGAGCACACGATAAGAAAGTCCGCCCTCGAGAAATCCACAAAGGCGATCTGGTGCTCAGGAGGATATTGCCCATTCAAAAAGATTTCCGAGGGAAATGGATGCCCAAGTGGGAATGACCCTATATTGTCAAGAAAGCCTTCTCTGGGGGAGCTCTAGTCTTAACTGAGATGGATGGGTCTGAATTACCCTACCCAGTGAATTCTGATGCAGTTAAGAAATATTTTGCTTGAAAAAAATAATGAAAAAATGAAATAAAAAAGGAGAAAAAAAATGAAAAAGAAAAAAGAATGAAAAAAATGAAAAAAAGAAGGGTTCAAGATGAAAACTCGAAAAGGGCGTCTTGAAACCAAAGGAGGTCTCGAGTCGAAAACCCGCAAAGGGTGACTTGAGTTTTAAATTCAGAGTTCATGCATGGTGGATGATCTGAATTGTTTTTGGAAGTAGGAAGAGCTCCTGACATGGGTAACGACAATGGCAGTTGGGGTTGAGACCAAAGATTAATGGGTATCGATGGAGACAACCAGAGGATAAGTTGAACGCACATGAGATTCAATACTGGTTTACGATATCCAGTAATGGGAGATTTTGGGGTTCAGAAAGAGCTTCGCACTCTTAGGTGTCATCACAATTTTGGAGATCATTTTCACATAAGCTACACTCGAGTCATTCTGACGGCATTCAAGTTCAAAAGCATTTTTGTTATTGATATTTGAAGACACCCCTCCTTTTGTTCTTTTTCCAATTAAAAGTTTGCCATGTAGTTGCCTAAAAATTCTCTGCATGTATATAAATAAAGAGACATTTTCCCTTTTCAATTTCCCTTTTACAAGTATCTAATTTTGAAAAAGTTAAAACGCATAGCTTAACTTGTGGTACATGAAATCATTTTGTATTATTATGCAAAAGGTTTTGGAAATGCAGGTATCCTGAAGCTAGCAATGGTTTTAACCCATAAGCTTGTGTGGTTGCGAAAAGCTAAAACTTTGGAATTCATAGAAAATCACAGCCATTAATAGATGACCCAAGGATGTTGTCATTTATCAAGAAGATTGGTCAGGGGTACTGGCAGGCCTCAAGAAAGAAAGAAGTCAAAGCCTTGTCAAGCCAAAAGTTATAGTATTGAGAGTATCAACTGGGGTGAACTGGTGAAATGCTCTATGCCCAAAGCGAAACCGAGTTCCATTGAAATCAAAGGGGATAATATTCTTTCGAAGAAGAAAGTGCATTAAATTGCATAATTGCACACATCGTAGGCATGAATAGGATCATGACATTGCATGATTATTTTAAATGTTTGCAGATTTCCCAACGATTATTGAAGATTGATCGAGTCTTATACTCTCTGAAGAAATAGGGAGCAGACGCGATTGTTGAAGATTGTTCGAGTCTTATACTCTCTGAAGAAATAGGGAGCAGACGCGATTGTTGAAGATTGTTTGAGTCTTATACTCTCTGAAGAAATAGGGAGCAGACACGATTGTTGAAAATTGTTCGAGTCTTATACTCTATGCAGAAATATGGAGCAGACACGACTGTTGAAGATTGTTCGAGTCTTATACTCTCTGTAGAAATAGGGAGCAGACACGATTGATGAAGATTGTTCGAGTCTTATACTCTCTGAAGGAATGGGGAGCAGACACGATTGATGAAAATTGTTCGAGTCTTATACTCTCTGCAGAAATAGGGAGCAGACACGACAGTTGAAGATTGTTGGAGTCTTATACTCTCTGCAGAAATAGGGAGCAGACACGATTGATGAAGATTGTTCAAGTCTTATACTCTCTGAAGGAATGGGGAGCAGACACGATTGATGAAGATTGTTCGGGTCTTATACTCTCTGAAGAAATAGGGAGCAGACAAGATTTGTTGAAGATTGTTTGGGTCTTATACTCTCTGAGGAAATAGGGAGCAGACACGATTGATGAAGATTCTTCAAGTTCCTACTCCCTAAGAAAGAGGGAGTGAACCCGTTGACAGAAGATTGTTCGAGTTCTATACTCCCCGAAGAAAGAGGGAGTGAACTCGTTCGCAGAAAATTGTTCGAGTTCTATACTCCCTAAAAATGAGGGAGCGAACCCGTTTTCCGAATATTTTTCAAGTCCCACTATCCTGAAGTTGCGGTGAAACGGATTAATCTTTTGAATATTTCATGACCAGACAAATTTGTCCATCTATTGATCTTTGCTCTATTCTCGTTACACGACAATGAACAAAGAGGGGCAGCTG